TTATCAATTCTATTATCATTATTATTATTATTATCATCATTATTATTATTATTATCGTTATTAATATCATCATTAGCAATATTGTCACTTTTACTACTACTATTGTTGTCACTATTATCATTATCTAGAGTAATGATCATTACGTATCATTATTACTATTATTATCATTATTATTATATATTTTCTCTGTTGTTATTAAACTCAATATTGTTATCATTATACGAATATTATTTCATTACCTCTATCACTATCATCAGTATCATCCTCTTCATGACAATAATCATTAGCATGATTATCATTTTCACCATAATTTTCATCATTATCATTATTATTATCATTATAAACATTGTTATCATCATCATTATTACCGTTATTATCAATATTATTGTTTTCGTTAATAGTAATAGTATTATCATCTTTTTTCATCATCATTATATTATCCTCATTATCATTACTGTTATCAGTACTATCATCCTTATTATTAGTATCATTATCATTATAATTACCATTACAACTATCATTTGTTTCACCATCATTGCTGTTACCATCATTATTAATGACATAATCATTGTTAATATCATTATCATCATTGTCGTTCTTATCATCAATATTATTAATACTAAAAATATTTTGGTTGTTCTTGCTATAATTATCATTGTTATTGACATCATCATTAAGACCATCGTCATTATTATCAATACAATTATTGTTGTTATCATTATTATTATTACTGGTATCATTATTGACATTATAATGATAATAACAATAATGGAAATGATAATAATAATAATAATAACAATAATAATAATAATGATAATAATAATTATTATCATTACGATAATGATAATGATAATGATAATAATAATAATAATAACAATAATAATAATAATGATAATAATAATTATTATCATTACGAGCATGATAATGATCACATCAGTTCCGATGATAATCTTAATAATGATATGGTGATGGTTATATCAACAGCGGTGATAATGATGATAATGAAGGCGATGATGACGCTGTGATGATGAAAACGGTTATGATGATGGTGACGATGGTGTGATGATGATAATTTATCATAATAATATCTGTAGTTATAGTGATAATAATAAAAAAACAATCATAATAATAATAAAAACAATCATAATAATAATAATAATGACTATAATAATAATAACTATAATAATAATAATAACAATAATGATTATCAACATCTGCATCATGATAATATAATAATGATCTTTATGACAATAACAATAATAATATCAATAATAAAAATAACTACAATAATGATAATGATGATGAGGATAATAATAGTAATAATAATAATAATAATGATAATAATAATAATGATAATAATAATAATAATAATAATAATAATAATGATAAACAATAATAATGATGATGTAGTATTGATAATAGTAATATTTTTTCATCATGATGGTAATAACCACAGTAGCAATAGCATCAAAGACTATTTACTGAATTGGAAAATAAATAGAATAAATTGTGCAATTATCCTTTCTATTTTCTTCTTAGCTGCCTTTTTTTGACGCGAGTTTTATGGAGGGATATCGTTAGATTTTTATCCTAAGCACTAAGTTGTAAAGATTATGCAGAAAGGGGGTTCAACAATGAACAAAGTTACAACAATATGGTGAAAAAGAATTTTACGAACATATATTTTGCTGGTAAATAAATATATATATCTCTTTTTAAACTCTCTAGTCGCTATCTTCTCAAAGTTGTGACATTTCCCTTCACTTTCCATTTACTATTGCTATATTATGAACTATACAAATATAAAAACGCCCTTTTCATCAATAATAGTCGATCCTGTCGTGCGATTTCATCATTTGCGCCAGCCAGTCAAATACACACGCTCAGAGCCAACAGCACCGCATAAAACATAGGAACTTGGACTAGACGAAACGACTGCGCAAAAGATTATATCTGAATTTGCTCTCACTTTGTAAATTTTAATAAAAAGTCTTACCAAATGGCTATTTTAAACACAGAGTAGTAAGGCACAAATAACTGCGCAGAAGAAAAGCTTGAGGTTAACGTACGCGATAGCAAAGATAAAAATGGAATACGTCTGCTAGATTTGAATCTATTAGAGATCACGTTTCGACATGTGCGATAATTCACTGAAATTCATATTTTGAACATCTTTAAGGGGAAGGGGGGAAGGGAGGATGAAAGAGTAATATCACGAGAAAAAATATCGTATAGACAAAAAACGTCATAATCTTGTTCGAATATTAAATTTCGAATCCTCCGAACGAAGGTGGTTCGAACTACTACCAGCACTAACTTTGGTTTACATTTTTGTACTTTTACCATCTTTATAAATCAAAAGCAAATACTGAACTAGAATTTTGTTTATCTCTCCACTCTCTTTGTACTTCGAACTACACCATTTTCCATTATTATTATCATCACTGTCATTATCATTACATAGCCTTATTACTATTATTATAATCTATTATATATATTTTTCATATTGTTATTTATATCAATATTAATGTATACATCAATATTGTTATCATTACTAATAATGATAATAATGATTATAATGATGATGATATTGATGATGATAATAATAATGTTGATAATAATGACAATAATGATAATAATATTAATGATGAGGATGATGACAATAATAATGATAATAATAATAATAATAATAATAATAATAATAATAATAAAACAAAATTGATAATATTAATGTACATACTAAAAATTATACTCCTACTCCTATTAATAACGATAATAAGTTATACCAATAGTGATGCAATAATAGTGATAATAATAATAATGATGATAATGATGATGATAATTGCAGAAATGATAATAGTAATAATAATGATTACGATAATAACAGTAATGACAATAATAATAATTATTATAATACCGATAATGAAAAATGATAATGGTGATAATAATAATGATATTAACGATAATGATAATAAAGATAACGATAATGACAACAATAACAATAATAATAATAATAATAATATTGATATTTATAATAATTATGATAGCAACAACAATAGCAACAACAACAACAACAACAATAATAATAATAAAGATAATATTAATAATAGTGATAATGATATGGATAATGATAACAATGATAACAATAATAACAATAATAACGATGATGATAATGATGATAACAACAAAACAATGATGCTGCTAATAAAAATGGCAATGATAATAATAGTAAAAATAATAATGATAATAGTAATTATAATAATAATAAGAATAATAATATAACAGTAATAATGATGGTGATGATGTTGATAAAAACATTAATGACGATAATAATGATAATAACATCTATGTCTCAAATGTATTATTATATCTTTAATTAAATTCTCTAATCGCTATCTTCTCGAAGTTATGATATTTTCCTTCACTCTCCATTATTTTTGTTGTATAATGGACTATACGAATGTAAAAACTCCTGTTTAATCAGTGAAGAATAAAAAAAAGTTGATCTGTGCCCCTCCCCCCCCTCCCCCTTGAACAGATTTTTCCGTACACAGAAGCATACATGATGTGAGTAGCCAACAGCACCGCATAAGATAAAGGAACTTGGAGTAGACGAAACACCTGCGCAGAACATTATATTTCAATTTGCTACCACCTTGTTTTTTCCTCTAAAAACTAAAAATCTTAAACATCTAGGAGTTAAGCACAATCAACTGCGCTGAAGAAAAGCTAGAGGTTAACATACAACAATAACGAAAATGAAAATAAGCCAAGATTGGCATATGACCGAAATTCGTTTGATAGATTTAAAACTACTAGATATCATGTTTCCACAGGTGCGGTAATTCACGGAAATACATATTTTGAAATCTTTAAGGAGGTAGAGGGTAAAAGAGTAATGACAGGAGGAAAATATCGTATATATATATATATAAAAAAAACACGTTTCATAATCATGTTCGAACAGGATGTAGTTCGAATCATTACCTTCAGTAACTTGATTTACCTTTTTATGCGTTCACTAACTTTATGAATCAAAAACAAAACTGATTTCGATTTTTTTTTTTATCCCTCCACTGTCTATGTATTTCAAGACACAAAAGTTGTCTTGGCTTTCTTATCTTTCTACCAAAAATACGAAAATGCAAAAGATTCACTAGACTGGAAAAGTATCCCCTACTAATAAAGACTTTCTTTTTTAACACCATCAAAGAAAATGGCAGTCATTAAGGCAAAGGTTAATCTGACAGCCCCTAAGTACCCACCCAGGGAAATCTGCCACAGACATACATCTAGGACAGAGAGAGAGAGAACAGGTGGGGCTCGCCAGGACAACACGCTGTCTCTCTTTGTTATTTTTTTCTTCTTCTTTTGCAACATATCAAAAGGCAAAGCTAAATTAGATTGAAAGAAACTATCTTTTTTTCTTTTCCGATTTCGTTTTCCTGTCTGTTGTATCTTTTTCATTTTTATTCATTTATTTGTTTTGAAGAAATGAAAGTACTACCAAATAAAGCATGTAGAATTAAAAAGAGAAATTATAAACCAAACTTCGGGGTATAAACTTGTTATAATGAAGTTCTGTAACTAGGAATGAATGTTAATAAAGTTGATGAGGCCTCTTTATGTAAAAGTGAATATTCTCATTGTTATTTCATATTTACTTATATATACGCATGAACACGGACATACTAATGCGATTTAATCTTTCGAAAGCATGAACCAAGAACTCTAAACTGGTTGATAATAAGGATTTTATCTGATCTAATTGCGCCATACATTAATACACTGAAAGGCCAATCGTACCAACTAAGACTTCAAAACTCACTGCTCATGATTCCCTTTAATATTCCGTCTAATGAGCTAAATCGTAAAATGATCAAAGTCGTGTTCAAAAGCTGTTCAAACAAACGAACATCGACTCAGTAAGAAAAAAAAAGAAAAAAAAGAAAAGAAAAGAAGTGAGGGGGGAGGGAAAACTAATTTAAATATCCACTCACTAGCTCCGAGTTGATCCTGAAGGTGAGAACAGGCGCCGGTTTGGACCTTCGGGAGATGCAAGTCAGATCAACCCAGTCGCTTGGGAGGTACTGGGGTTTCATGCCCTGGATCACTGGGTTGCTGTCGGGTAGGTCTGAGGACAGAAGACATCTGCTTTAGAGGTACATTTTTTTTTTTTTTTTTTTTTTGTGTGTGTGTGTGTGTAACGGAAAAAGGGGGAAGAGGGAGAGGTGAAAGGAGAGAGAATGAAAGACAGGGGGGGTGAGAGGGAGATAGAGGTAGAGAACATTAGATAGATAGATAGAAAAAGAACGAGAGAGAGAGAGAGAGAGAGTGAGAGAGAGAGAGAGAGAGAGAGAGAGAGAGAGAGAGAGAGAGAGAGAGAGAGAGAGTAAGAGAGAGAGAGACAGAGAGAGAGTGAGAGCTAATACTCGGAAGAGAATACATAAAAAAGAACTAGACTAGACTCAGAACAAAACAAATAAACTGCTGAGAAAAGACAAAGACCATAAAACAAACATCCACAAGTAACCTTTCTCTACACCAACGACCTACGGAAGGAAGAGGAGCTAGTGAAGAAAGGAGAAATTTCCGAGAGAAACAAAAAACTGTCGAGGAATGCAAGACGTTTGCGGGAGCGGGAGAAGGGAGAGGAGAGAGAGGAGAAAGAGGAGCAGGAGAAGGGAGAGGAGCGGGAGAAGAGAGAGGAGGGAGAGGAGGGAAAGGAAAGAGAGGAGAGAGAGGAGAGAGAGCAGAGAGTGGAGGAGAGAGAGGAGGGAAAGGAAGGAGAGGAGAGAGAGGGGGGAGAGCAAAAAATGGAGGAGAGAGAGAGGTAGGAGAAGAGAAAGAGGAGCGGGAGAAGGGAGAGAAGAGAGAGGAGAGAGAGGGCGGTTAGGTGGGAGAGGAGAGAGAGGAGGAAGAGGAGAGAGAGGGCGGTTAGGTGGGAGAGGAGAGAGAGGAGGAAGAGGAGAGAGAGGAGGGAGGGGAAGAAGATCATATTGCTGATGCGGGAAACCCTAGTAACCGGGTGGGTCTGACGTTGGCCAGTTTTCTACAGAGGTTAAGGGATTGTGGGTGCCTCGGTGGGTGGGTGGTGGGGTGGGTTGGGGTGGGTAGAAGGATGTCGTTATATAAAAAGATAGATAGAGAGATGATGCATAGTGAAAAGATGAAAGTTGGGGATGTGAGGAAGAGAGAAAAGAAAGAAAGAGCAAGAGAGAGAGAGCAAGAGAGAGAGAGAGAGAGAAAGACTTACCCAGATGTCGAAGGAGATGAGGGAGAGAGTGAGATAGATCGATCGATAGATAGATAGATAAAGAGAGAGAGAGAGAGATGGGAGGTCAAAAAAAGTTACAAAGAAAACAGCATATACAGCGGAGATAAGTGACAAAAAATGTTACAGTAGAGCAGTGAAGTGAGCGGCAAAGAGGACACAGCAGTGTTTTATGAGTCATGGAAAGGATAATGACTTTTTTTCACTTTTTTTATAACGACGAACACACGCGTTTGTAGAAAAAAGGAAATGATCGACAGTTTTTAGTACTGAAAACACACACAAAAAAAATATCTTTAAAATCCACGGCACAAAATACTTTGAACAATATACCAACAAAAAACAACTTAGTGATCATATATTTTACGACGATAATCTGTGAATGTAATAATTTTTATTAAATTTGTTCGAAAGGACTGGTGTAAACTCTCCACCAAGGTACAGAAAATAGATAGACTAACAAACAGATTGAATTAGAGAAAAATGACTTACAAATATACACACTGAAACCCATGCTCTCTCTTCCCCGGATGTGCGGAATCAGGCATCTTGAGAAAGTTTTACGAAATATTTGCAGCTAAATTCGTCTTAATCTGCTTTCAATCTTTTATTCTGTGCCAGGTTTGGATTATCTTTGTTACGCTGTTTGGTTTTCTGCAACAGAGCATCGTTTGAAATTGGAGAAGAGAAAGAGAGAGAGAGAAAGAAAAGTTGGTGTTAGAGTTAGTTAGATAGAAAGAAAAGGGGGAGAGGGAGTGAGGGAGGAGGAGGAGAGAGAGTGGAAAGAGAAAGAGAGAGGGGAGAGAGAGAGAGAGAGAGAGAGAGAGAGAGAGAGAGAGAGAGAGAGAGAGAGAGAGAGAGAGAGAGAGAGGAGAGGAGCGGAGAAGAGAGAGGGAAAGGAAAGAGAGGAGAGAGAGGAGGGAGAGCAGAGAGAGGAGGGGAAGGAAGGAGAGGAGAGAGAGGGGGGAGAGCAAAAAATGGAGGAGAGAGAGAGGTAGGAGAGGAGAGAGAGGAGAAAGAGGAGCGGGAGAAGGGAGAGAAGAGAGAGGAGAGAGAGAGGGCGGTTAGGTGGGAGAGGAGAGAGAGGAGGAAGAGGAGAGAGAGGAGGGAGGGGAAGAAGATCATATTGCTGATGCGGGAAACCCTAGTAACCGGGTGGGTCTGACGTTGGTCAGTTTTCTACAGAGGTTAAGGGATTGTGGGTGCCTCGGTGGGTGGGTGGGTTGGGGTGGGCAGAAGGATGTGGTTATATAGAAAGATAGATAGGAAGATGATGCATAGTGAAATGATGAAAAGTGGGGATGTGAGGAAGAGAGAAAAGAGGAGAGAGAGAGAGAAAGAGAAAGAGAGAGAGAGAGAGAGAGAGAGAGAGAGAGAGAGAGAGAGAGAGAGAGAGAGAGAGAGAGAGAGAGAGAGAGAGAAAGACTTACCCAGATGTCGAAGGAGATGAGGGAGAGAGTGAGATAGATCGATCGATAGATAGATAGATAAAGAGAGAGAGAGAGAGATGGGTGGTCAAAAAAGTTACAAAGAAAACAGCATATACAGCGGAGATAAGTGACAAAAAATGTTACAGTAGAGCAGTGAAGTGAGCGGCAAAGAGGACACAGCAGTGTTTTATGAGTCATGGAAAGGATAATGACTTTTTTTCACTTTTTTTATAACGACGAACACACGCGTTTGTAGAAAAAAGGAAATGATCGACAGTTTTTAGTACTGAAAACACACACAAAAAAATTATTTTTAAAATCCACGGCACAAAATACTTTGAACAATATACCAACAAAAAACAACTTAGTGATCATATATTTTACGACGATAATCTGTGAATGTAATAATTTTTATTAAATTTGTTCGAAAGGACTGGTGTAAACTCTCCACCAAGGTACAGAAAATAGATTAAAAAAATAGATAGACTAACAAACAGATTGAATTAGATAAAAATGACTTACAAATATACACACTGAAACCCATGCTCTCTCTTCCCCGGATGTGCGGAATCAGGCATCTTGAGAAAGTTTTACGAAATATTTGCAGCTAAATTCGTCTTAATCTGCTTTCAATCTTTTATTCTGTGCCAGGTTTGGATTATCTTTGTTACGCTGTTTGGTTTTCTGCAACAGAGCATCGTTTGAAATTGGAGAAGAGAAAGAGAGAGAGAGAAAGAAATGTTGGTGTTAGAGTTAGTTAGATAGAAAGAAAAGGGGGAGAGGGAATGAGGGAGGAGGAGGAGAGAGAGTGGAAAGAGAAAGAGAGGGGGGTAGAGAGAGAGAGAGAGAGAGAGAGAGAGAGAGAGAGAGAGAGAGAGAGAGAGAGAAAAGTTGGTGTTAGAGTTAGTTAGATAGAAAGGAGAGGGGGAGAGGGAGTGAGAGGGGAGGAAGAGAGAGAGTGAAAAGAGAGAGAGAGAGAGAGAGAGAGAGAGAGAGAGAGAGAGAGAGAGAGAGAGAGAGAGAGAGAGAGAGAGAGAGACAGACAGACAGACAGACATACAAACGGACAGACAGACAGACAAACAGACAGACAGGTAGGCAGATAAAGAGACATACAGAGGACAAGCACACATAAACAGACAAAAATTGACAGCCAGAGAGAAAGAGCAAGAGAGCCGGTCTTAACATGTAGTACCGCCATTGAACTCAATGCGAATGTTCTGCAAAATCTGTCACAAAACGAAAATCTATTTGCAATTAAGTATCTTTACGTTTTAATCTCTCTTGTCTTTTCAGTACCTTTTTTTTCGTTGACAATCATTTCCCACGATGAGTAACTGTCGTAATGATGGATATGATAATGACATGGATCATTGGCCATTAATATTGTAATTAGTTATGACATTAATGGTGATGGCAATGCTTATGATTATGATAGCACTTGTGGTGACAGCATGATAATGGCAATCATAAGAGAAAGCAGATGATAAACTCATGTTAATAGACCATAATGAACATACTGTACTGTATATAGACTTGACTGGTTGGTGATGTTATGTTGAATACATTGCATTTGAGACGATTACCAGATTATCATCACCAACTCCGCAATTATGTGAAAGAAATATCATCAACATGTTAGTTCCCATATAAATGTTGTCACCAACTAGTTAATTATCAGAGAATTGTCATCACCAAATTATGTCACCAAACGATTATTTTCACCGTGTCAGTTGTCATTTCTTTCACCATCATATCAGTGGTCAGTTATTTCACCATCATATCAGTTATCAAAAAAATAGTCGGATCATTATTTTGACCAACATGTCAATTACCGGATAATTATTTTCACCAAGTCAGTTGTCCAAAAATTATCATTACAAACTTTTATAATTATAAATCTGTCATTAGTAATCAGTAACCTATAAAATACATATTTCCTCGACTAAAACAAGAGAGAGAATAGCAAAAGGAGAAAAGAAGAAGAAAGGGGAAGAACTCAAGACAAGAGCAAAAGAGACAAGTAGATTAGAAAGGGAGGGAGGAGGGGGAGGAAGGAGAAAGGGTAAGTGGGAGGTGGGGGATAGGAGGAGGTGGGGGAGGGGGAGGAAGGGTGGAGAAAGGAGGAGGAGGAGAGTGAGGAAAGAGGAGGAGGAGGGTGAGGAAAAAGGAGGAGGAGGGAGGGGAAAATAGAAGGAAGGAAAGGGAAACAGGAGGTGAAGGACAGAAATGAGAAATGATAAGGAGTGGAAAAAAAAACAGAAGAGGGGAAGAAAGGAAGAAAGGAGAAAAGAAATGCGTAACAGCAAGAAGGGGGAAAAAAAGAGAAATATGGAAGAAAGGCAAAGACGTGAATAGAAAAGAAGAAGAAGAAGAAGATGAAGGAGGGGGAGGGGGATGGGGGGGGGGAGTAAAGGAGGATTAAACTACGACCCCCTTAATGACCGAGAGAAAGGATCGTAAAGTAAGAGTTAAACAATTGACGGTCGCGGGGAAACAATTTAGCTTAAACGGCTCCTCAGACCTTTGAGCGAATTCCAACCTCCTCACAGCAGCAGTTTGTCCCCGACCGTGTGTGGTTGTGTGGAGGGGGGAGGGGAGAAGGGAGGGGGAGGGTGTGAGTATGTTGGGTAGGGGCAGGGGGAGTGTTTGTGGGGAGGGAGGGGGGTAGAGAGTGTGTATGTAGGGTGAGTGGAGAGTGGGATGGGGTGGGGATGGGTGCGAATATGTTGGGGAGGGGTAGGGGGAGTGTGTGTGGGGGGGAAGGGCAGCGGGTGTCTATGTGGGGTGAGTGCGTAGTGGGGAGTGGGGAGGAGGGAGGGGGGGTATGTAGAGGCGGGGGAGCAGGGGGGAACTTTGTAAGAAGTGGGGTGTATATATATGTGTGTGTGTTCGTGCGTGTATGTGTCTATCCGCATGTATGTATAGTATATATGTGTGAGCGAGAGAGAAAAAAAATCGAGAGCCAGCCAACCAGTCAGACAGACACAAAGACAGAACAAGAGAGTGTTACAGAGCATTTCGAGATCGGCATCCGTGTTTTCCTGCTGATTCGTCCCCAGAGTTACTGATCCGTTGAAAAGCAAAGTTTGTAGCCTCACCAATGAGATATAATTAGTTGGATTCTCTCGTTCTTCAAAGGAGTTGCAAGAAAGTGAGGCAAACATAACTCATTTATCGTAATGAGGAGGAGCAACATCAATGAGGATAAAAAGATAATTAAGAGAGTAGGAGATATAGATAAGGAAAAAAATAATTGGACTGGTAGAGAGGGAGACGGAGAAGGGAGGGGGGTGAGAGAATGAAGGAAAATAATGAGAGGGATGGTGGAAGAGAGAGAGAGAGAGAGAGAGAGAGAGAGAGAGAGAGAGAGAGAGAGAGAGAGAGAGAGAGAGAGAGAGAGAGAGAGAGAGAAAAGGAGAAAGAGAAAGAGAAAGAGAAAGAGAAAGGAGAAAGACAAAAGGAAAAAAAAATAGAGAGACAAAAATAAAGTAAGGGAAAGAGAAAAACAGAGAAAAAGAGGCATAGAGAGAAAAAAAAACAGAGAAAAAGAGAAAGACTCCATATAAACGCCAAGCGAGTGATATTCCTCTTCTCCTCCCCTTTCACCTTCGCCCAAAAAATAACACGGACTTCACCACGAGAACAGTCAGCCCCGAGTGCGGGAAACAGAACGAAGGGAAACCACGCCACGAGGAAGAGAGAGAGAGAGAGAGAGAGAGAGAGAGAGAGAGAGAGAGAGAGAGAGAGAGAGAGAGAGAGAGAGAGAGAGAGAGAGAGAGAGAGAGACACACACACACACAGAGAGAGAGAGAGAGAGAGAGAGAGAGAGAGAGAGAGAGAGAGAGAGAGAGAGAGAAAGACAGACTGACAGACAGACAGACAGAGAGACAGACAAACAGAGATATAGACAGAGAGACAGAGATAGAGACAGAGAGAGGGAAAGAGAGAGACAGATAGACAGGCAGACAGACAGATAGACAGACAGAGAGAGGGGGGAGAGAAGAGAGAGAGAAAAAAGGGGACGGAGCAAAATTTGAGAAAACTAGGAAGAATTTCGAGAATTCTCCGCAACTTCAAGCAGACTGTGGTTGGCGTAACCCCGTCTCCCCCTTCTCCCCCCTCTCCTCCTTCTCTCTTCCTCTTCCCTTCCCTTCTTCACTCCCCCCTCTCCTCCTTCTCTCTTCCTCTTCCCTTCCCTTCTTCACTCCCCCCTCTCCTCCTCCTCTCTTCCTCTTCCCTTCCCTTCTTCACTCCTCCCTATCTGCCTCAACTCCATTCTCCCCACTTCCCATTGCCTCCCCATTACTCTTCCCTCCATCATCTTCTCCCCCACTCCCCCACTCCATCTCCCATCCCCTCACTCCTCTTCCACCATCTTCTCCCCCACTCCCCCTCCCCCCACTCCCCCTCCTACCCTCCCCCCTCTCCCCCTCTCCCCTACTTCCCTCTCCCCCCCCACTCCCCCTCCACTATCTACTCCCCCACTCCCCCTCCTTCCCTCCTACTCCCCACTCCCCTCCGTCCCTCTCCCTCCTCCAACTCCCCTACACCATCTTCTCTCCCATTCCCCTCCTTCCCTCCCCCTCCCCCCACTCCCCCTCCACTATCTACTCCCCCACTCCCCCTCCTTCCCTCCTACTCCCCCCACCCCCTCCATCCCTCCCCCTCCCCCCCCCACCCACCTACTTCCTTTCCCCTCCCCCTACCCCCTCTCCTTCCCTCCCCCTCCCCCTCTCCTTCTCCTTCCCTCCCCCTCCGCCACCCCTACCTTCTCAGCCTCCCGTTTTAGTGTT